TTGTAAAATGACCGACGGCAACGTTTGGCAAACGTTGCGGTATCCATCTACCGCAACGTTTGGGTAACGTTGCGGTAGATGGGTACCACAACGTTTGCCAAACGTTGCGGTAGACCTCCCACTCTACGACAACACCTTAATTTGCAACACACATTCAAACGTTGTCGTAGGCCTACGGCAACATTTTTCGAACGTTGCCATATGCTTTTTTGTTGTAGTGGTAACGACCTATCTTGTTGATTTGTCTCTCTTAATTACCTGAAATTAGCGGCTCCTTCTCTGTCTGTTAATAGATATTTTCACCAGTTCGAAGCGTCTGAACACATGAATGAATTGCAGCAGTACTTAGTTTCAGTGTTTGCGGATCATTTCTTTTTGGTATTGCAACATGAAATAGTTGACCATGTTTTCGCTACTGATCCTAGGTCTAGTAATGGAGGGGGGTTGATATAGGTTGGCCGGTAGTCCGGACGGTAACTTTGGGTTCTTATGTACGAGTTATGCAGGTAAATAAAATGTTTGATTTTGTGGTTTTGGTGGGGATAAAAGTCTCCTTGTAATAATGAATTCCTAATAACTTGCAAAAAATAAATTATGGGCCAAGGGCTCAAAATATCTGTAATTTTGGGAGTTAATTAAATTAATGCCTACTGAACTTTTATCTATGTTACTACTTGCTTATTGAACAAAAAAAGTTACATATTGCTCACTCAATTATTTAAATGTTTACCCCGTGTGCAGACGGAAAGTGGACAAATTAACGGTGTAAATGTGCCACCTCAATTTTCCATCTGCATGTGGAGTTTTCCTTTAATTATGGGTAATGGATTTGAAAGGAATAATAGATTGATAAACATTTGAATAAATGAGTGAGTAGTACTGGGTAACCTTTTTTTTTTTGGTTAAATGAGCAAGTGGTAACTTAAAAGTAAAGTTCAGTGGACATTGATTTAATTAACTTGTAATTTTGGTACTAAACTTAGGATTTATTGAACATTCTTCGGGAAAATAGTAGGATAGGGAAGTATTTAAAAATAACAAGTTTATAGCAATATTTTTAGATATGATTAAAATAAAGTTACAACTAATTTTAAAAAACCTATCTTGTAAGCTACATGTATGCTCATCCAAACATGCTCTAAACTTTTCTTATTTTAAGTGAAAAATGTTATTTTTTTTTTTAATAAGGAGCTCATTG